GTAAATCACAAAGCAAATGGACCAGGTGGAGTTGCCACATGTGACTTTTGCTGGCTTAGCTTCAGACAAAGGAGAACAGGGATCTGTTGCTTTGGTAATGACAACAGGAAAGCACAGCTTAATCCCCAAATCAGCTCCAATTCGTTTAACAACCACAGCCCTCCACGGGGCTGTTCACATGGTAGCTTTGTCAGAGACAAAGTTTTGTCAACAGCAGTGCCCAGAATGCAACAACCTGTAGGACGGGCACCCTGCAGGCTACAGGGGTTATCTCTGCAGACTTTGGAGTGCAGACACTGCTTAGCAACATATTACTATCTCATCTCAAACATTTTTTTCCTGGGATTAGTACCCAGCTTCTTAAAGCAGCTGCGCATCTTCAGTCACCTTTGGCTGGTTAAAAAAGTGTTTGTGTATGTGCATACTCACAAAACCCCTACTCACATACAGCACTAACTCATACATCTTTCATCCTGGGGAACTTTTATACCCAGTAACACCCAGCCACCCCTACAGGAAACTGCTCCTGACATACCTACTCTCTATCACAATTTTTTTTTCTGCTTTTCACTACAAACTACTTCATTTCCAGAAGTACAGTTTTGCAGGGAAGGAAGAAGAAAGTCTGCATGCCCTGGCTGATTTCTTCCTAGTTGTGTCAGATACTTTTTTTAATTAGCATAAAAATCTTATGATATTTTAGGTCTCTAAAATAAAATGCAGACACAAAATTGCTAGTATTAAAATAAAGCCTATTTAATTAGTATCAAATCCTCTGTATGTTTACCAGTTCCTTCTTATTACTCATGAAGTGTTTTTTTCTGGTTTGCAGGTTTAACTGTCCAGTCTATTGGTTTTTACATGTTTACACCCTTATTTGTTTCAATTAACTGAAACTACATCAACTGACATTAGAGAAATATGCTATTTAAGGCTGCCTTAAAAAAGTATGTGCAGTTTAAGTGATCTGAAAACTCAAGAAAACAAAACTGCTGAAGTTCCAAAACTTGCAGAAAGTTCTGCACATGCTACTGTGTTTAATGGGGCTGGCAAAGCACAGCAAAGTACTTTAACCGACACCACTACAGACAGTAAGTTGTCCAGCTAAAGTGAGTAATTTCCAGGGAAGATAAATCCAGTATACACTGGAGTTCAGATGGCAATGAATATACCAAGAGAAAGCAATAACCATTCTTCATTAATTTACATTTAACACTTCACAGGAAAAACAGCCACTTGCAAAGTGAACAATCTCCTCTTAATAATCAGCTCTTCCATGCACTCTTGTTCTTCATTCTTCAGTTTTGAGGCAGTATCACAAACTGCAATTCCTTATTGTGATTAGGAATGCTCTCCTGGATAGCTTCCCTTCCCTTAGAGGCTCAACTATTCCCAGACCTCTATGACATTAGAACTTTGAGAACTTATTTCATAAGGATTAAGAGTCTTCATTAGCAAATGTAATTTTGAACTGACAACACTCATACTTAATTTAACATTAAGCTCACAACAGTTATTTAATATTAAAACCAAGTCAACTAAAACTTCGACAGTTAACATTTCTGTTGGGGAGTCCATTCACAGTTGGATTAGTGAGGCAGACAATGAAGCACGGTACACACGGGGGAACAAGGAAAGCAAGGCTGCAGCACCTGCATGTTTAGAGGGAGATGGGGAGACTTCCACACCTGACCAATAAAAACCAACATGTCAAATGAAAGTGACAGAGGAAGTCAATCAGCCTACAGAAATCAGGAAAGGCAAAAAATGGTGCTGCAGTAGTAGAGAGCCTGTTCGTGTCTTACTTGGATGCCTCAGTATTTAGAGCATCTTTAAGTCCACATTTTTTCCTGAAACCCAGTATTATCTATGATATTTCTCACAGAGTTGAAAAGATGAACAGCACTAGTCTAAGAGATGTCTAGCATATGATGCTATTAAACAGCTGAGAACTTGACTAAACTTGTTGCATTCAGCCTGGAGGGCTCAAGGAGCTGAACACCCCCTGAGGACCAGCAAGCCACATCCATGCTTACACCGCTTAGTGGCTCCCATGGTATTCCTGTGACCTCAAGACAGTGAGGTTTCTCCCTCAACTCACCAACTGCCATATCAAAGCATCCGAAGTGACGCTTTCTGCTGCAGTCACCAAGGAAGTAATTTACCTCATCAAGCTGACCATATGCATTGCATGCCCTGGAGCACGGCATGAGGGTTGTATGTGAGAAAAGTAAGGCTACTTGATTACTTGACACAACTGTGTGAGAGCAGAAGCAGCCCAAACTGTGCAGCCTCACTGACACTGCCTTTTGGGAGAGGACTCTGGAACAAACCACCCCCAAGACCCTGCCAGCTGACAAACTGTTGATGTAGCCCTAAAGAAGAAATCCAGGAAGCAAGCTGGCAGTCTGCAGCAGTATAGGCATCTAAGGGATCACCCTTGCTCCCCAGCTCTTTTACTTAGACCAGTAAACAGTGGCAAGAGGTATGTAGAACCAAGACCCAACATAACAGGCCCTCCCTTCTTTTCCTGCAGCAAGACCACTAGGCCCACCTCCCCATCTTCATCTTCTCACAGCAGCAAGAATACTGTGAACTATCCTCTGGTGCAAAGGCTGAAGTTATATTTAGCAGCATAGTGAAAAGCTGGATGATTTAAAGTGTCATGGTGTTGGAAAGCACAAGAACAACAACAGTAAAACACACAGGAAAGAACCCATTTAGAAATCAGTATGAATGCTCAGCAATTGCTGAAGCTCATCTACTACACACAGCTTTCAGGAAACAGCATCCTGTTCTCCCCAATTCCCCCTACCATGCTATCTACTTGAGTTCTGAAAAGCATCAAAAAAACCTGACTGGAGGTAGATTTTATTTATTCATAGTTCTCCAATACATTGAATTCCCAAGCCTATACTCAGAGCAACAAGGATATCCCTACAGGGGCTCTGCTTTACCATGGAAACTAGCCACTTGACCAACTTTCTTCTGTTACCACAAGCGCACTGTACACCAGTACACTGGTTTGTCTTTCCCATGAATTCCTCCCCACCTCTCCTACACACATCAACATTTACATCCCCTTTTTCCCCACTTCAAACATTCATTAGTATTATACTCTAGCATTTGAGGAAGACAGTGGAATTTCCAGCAACAAGTATTTTCAGCTGACAGTGTATTAAGAAAAATCAGGTTAGATACTTGAAAATTCAGAGTTTTATAAGGACATTACTCAGAGATGCTTCTAGACATCAGTAGTTATCTCCTGGAAAAGTTATACAACAGAAGACTGTTTTCTAAAAAGTTCCTGGAACATGTCAAAAGACAGGTAATTTAACTCTGGAAACTGCTCCTTTAGAAGGGGCAGTCTTCTTAAGGGGAACAATCAGATGAGATTACAAAGGGGAAAGCCAGTTTGAGAATTCATATTTCATGTCACTTTCAAACTCAAGGCAATGCAGGAAAGCAAAATGAGGCTATGTAATCAAAGAGAGCCAACCTTTAAACCTTTTAAGCCCTTTTTACCTTTAGATATTTTACCTTTTAATTGTTCAGTTTATGTATCCCTGATATTATCTTTTTAGGAGAACTAAATACAAGCTTAACCCAATACAGAGGAATGATAGCACCAGAGTAGTAAATTACCAACTTAGCTATCTTTTCACTGACCTCAGAAACAAAAGTTTATCCAGAAGTGGAATCTTGATCAAATTATTCAGGAAGAATATGAAACCATATAACTAAAGACAGAATAAGAAAGACTGTACAGAAATGAGACAAGTAACAGGTTTTTCTAGGCACATCAAATATAAAAAACAAATAAATTTAATCAGAAAAAGCCAGTGTCACATTTGAAAAGCTATCTGAAATATACTAAGAACTTCATGGAGGATGACTGGGAAAGATTATAAACATAGGACTAGACTCCTGCCAGCTTACTTGTTACCTTAAGTCAGGCCCCAAGTTTACTAATGTAGTTGGTCTACACTACTTTTATGTATAATACATATAGACCTGTACATACAAATATGTTCACACACAGTAAACATACAGAGACAAACTCCAGCAGGCAACACACTCGCTTAGGATCCGATTTTCCTTCTAGAGATATTGGTGTTCTCTCTCATTACAGAGAGAGCTTAAAAATCCTTAGGCAATTCTCATGTTAGGAGTATGGCCAAATGAGCTACTTAACAGGATACCCAGGAGGAGAAGACAGCCAACAAATTAAAGCTTATTTAGCTTAACTCCAATCTTGAAGACGACTGAAGTAAGTAGAGATTTCAAAAAGAACAAAAGCAGTGACTGCCACAATGGATGTCAAGAACAAATAATTGAATAACTGGAATCAATGAAGTGCAATAAAATAGTAGCAGTTACTAATAAATAGGCCAGATAAACATATACTGTAATTAACTAACCCTGACACTGTAAAGCAGCTTCAGGAAATAAAGTGAATGTGATTTTGCTTACCAGTTTATCCCAGCACATTCTGCTTATGCAGGTGTCACTGATGACACCAACCACCTTTGTCATGCTGTTAGTTACTTCAGTAGGTGCTTGAGAATTTGAAGTGTATAATAAAGTGTTTAAAATGACATACAACAAGACAGTGACAGAAAGTTTTCATGATTCACATGCTAAGGTTAGACTTGAACATATTTAGACATTCAGTTGTCAGAAGAATTACAAATACATTTAACTGACTTGAGCTTTCCTGCATCTGGAAAGACTAGCCCTGAAACCAAGACACCATGCAATGTTACTGCATCAATACAGCCCAGACTGACCAATTCAACTGTCTTGATATCCAAACTGCAAGACGACATAGACAAGGTTATCAACAGTATTCTGCTTTATTTTAGTTGCTTCATACACAAGGCTGGTAAAAGAATAGTTTGCCTTTCCCCAGAAGGAGATCCAATACAGCAAGAAATAAATATCTGTAAGGGAGGACAGAGGGGACATCATCTATACGAAGAAAAAGAAAATCTACTCACCTGCCATTTTTTTTTATGTAGGTTGCTAAATAACCGTGGTCTTCCCAGTTATGAACTGTTTCTGTCATTCCCTGCTCCTGAAAAATGGGCTGTAGAGCTTTAAGAACGGCATTGCAATCAGCTGCAAGATTAAGAGAAAAAAAATAATCAATAAGAATTTTCCACTCAAGTCACTTCTGCCTTTTTTTAAAAGCTGAACAGTTTTTGCTGGCAGCCTGGAGTATTTAGTCTTTGAGTTCCATCTGAACAACAGCTTTCATATACCTTCTCCCCTCCTCCCACTCCACTCCCAGAGATATTCCTCAGTGTAAGGGGATCCAAACAATTTTCTTTTAAATCAGTTTTTACCCCTGAGCAAAAGTGTTTATCTACAATGGATGTAATAAGAGTACTTTTATTATGGCTACTATTAGTCACCTATTGTATAACAATCCAGGCAAATCCTTACTCATGTAATTACTTTTTAAATCACCTGAAAACTCACAAACAATCCCAGAAAGAAACCACTGCACTGTCAAGAAACTTAGTAGTTTCCTTGTCCTACAGCTCAACATTTTTTCAAAGGCATTGAAAACTAGACAGAGCAAAATATCCTATCCACTCTGCCATACAGAAACATCCTTTTCCTAACATCCAGGACAGAGCAGGCCCCCAGTTGAAATCTTCATGATGCTACGGAAAAGACCTCTAACTCAGAAGAACACACACAAATTCACTTAGAAATAACTGAAGTTACTCTGATAATTATCTTCAAAAGCAAGCTGATGATTTGTCCATAAAGGTATTTCTTCAGTCAGAATGTGCTGATTTCAGAAGCCTCAGGTTTGCTGTACACATTAGTTTTGTGTTGTTTTGTTTTTTTTTAAATCTTCATTACAACTACTTTGGACATTCCATTCAAACAAGTGTCTCAAAAACAAGTTGCAAGTTTTGTCAGTTGATTTTGGAATTGGCAAGGCAAGTTAGTGGAGGATTCTAGTAAAGCTGCACCTACCAGAACAGGAACAAAACTGGAAAGACTGTCATACCAGTAAGTGTCAGTGAGAAGACCTAACAAAATATTAATCTACAGGCTGTCCTAGTCAGGCAAGTATCATTTTTGCTTCATAAACAGAAAACTAAGCCACTACAATCATGCAGTATGTCAATAATGTCAGGATTTAGAGTCTCTATCAGAGAAATCACCTGGCACAGCCACATTATGGAGGCATGGTTTATAACCAAATGCTTCAACACTGACACATTGTTCCCCCTGCCCTGACTTATTAAAGCGTTATTCCCAAGGTAATTATTTTGTTTTACTCCCTGCCCCCAAATGCGTATACCTTGGAAACCAGTAAGTGTAGCCTGCAGATGTAATTAGCAATAGTTTCCAGGATGTTACTGATTTGTACAAGCTTCAAACAAATGAACAAAAAACCTATACTAAGCAAATCACAAAGTTCAGTTCATGTATTATCTCTACACAACTCCACAGTAGACTAAGCTGAAAACCTGATTACTTGAAACCTATGTTTGCCCATCTGTAAAGCCTGGTCTCAATTATCCCTGTATGTTTTAACCAGACAGACTGAAATAACAGATAAGCATTTACTTTAATATTCCTCAACACAAAGTCAAAAGCAAGCCAATTCCCCAATATCTTGCCAAGGATATTTATTAGAAGTGGAAAGGCCCTGTTACTTACTGCTCATACTATCTGATCTTGAATGCATGTTCTGAGATAAATATTTACTTTTCACCTTCTACACCTCACTCTAACTCCCCATGTTGCAAATTATGGGGAAATAGAACCAAAGAACAATAAGTTCTGCTGGCCAACAGTGAATGATTTAACTGCTGGCCCCTTCTCAGTCAGGAGCACCATTAGTGATTTTTACCCTCATTGATGAAACACCCCACACACAGTCCACTACCACCATGAAGCTTTTTTCCTTCCCTACCCTCCTGTCAAAACCTGCATCATTTGTACCAGTTAAGTTTTTATACTTCCTATCCAGCATCGGTCAGGTACCACCATTGCACATGCAGTAATTAAGACAGAGTACACAGTTTATCTGTCCAGTAACCATGGTTATAGTAGTAATAAGTGGCCCAACAATCAAGCCATTTGGGATATAAAAAGCATAAAAGAAATAGGGCCATTATTAGAGCTACAGTTCTTAAACTGTTTCCACTCTCTGCAGCTTTGCACTGGGAAGGGGACTTTACACTGCTCACTTCAAACTTGCAGCTTCCGGCATGCATCGGCACTCTTTTGGGGGGAAGATAGGAGCAGCTGCTCCAAAGCCAGTACATTCACAAAGATTTTTTGTCACTTCAGACATGTGGTCCCCTCTTCTTGCTTGGTATTTGCTTCCTTGCCCCCTCTCCCTCATCTTTTGCAAAACCCATGCTCATTTCCTTCCCTTACTTATTTCTCATGTCACCACCACAAAAACATTAAACAAGAACTCAGTTTAATAATGCACACCATATCCTTCCAGGCCAGCAAATTAGCATGAAACCCAAACTGAACTCGTATGCAACTAACCCCCAGACCACTTCTCTTTTGCAGCTCCTGCAAGATATTGAAGTAGTAAGATGGAGAACAGACTCTGGAAGAACTGAAGTGCTCATACCACTTTTAGCCTATCTGCTTTCAACAGCTTCAAGGATTCCTGCTAGGTGCATCTTGGCAGAGACTGCAGGACAAATCATCACTGATATTTTTCTGCTCCACGAACATACTAATCCCTCACAAGCTGCTCATCATTCAGCAGCAGATTTCTTTGCTAAGCAGCCAGGCACAAGCTTGATTGAGTTCTTCCTATTATGCGATTAACTTTAGGAAATTAAAACAACAACATGCTCTTTCATCAGGTCTCCTTTTGGTTATACCACACAAGATTTGCCTTGGAGGGTTAATTAATTCTCCAAAGTTGGAGATTCCTTTTTAAAATGTTTGAGGCATCAGTGGTTGCTTGAAGGCATCAGGAAGTTTCAGCAATCTCACAGTCTCTTGCCCAAATCCACTTGCCACCACCTCACTCCAAGCTCAGATATGCTATATCAAGCATTGATAAGCGAAAACGACAATGGTGATTAGAACAGTAGGAACACCTTTGAATCTACATCAAAATGTTAATTCAAGTAGTCATTTCTTTTTTTTTTTTGCTATTCAGGAACAAAGGAAAAACTCTGGTTACCAGGCACAAAATACTGTTCTAAGTATTTGACAATTATTTGCCAGAAGGAATGAAAAGGCCCAGAGTTTCAACTCTAGAGAACAGAAAAAAAACACTGCATAAGATTTGAGAGACACATTTTTCAAGAGAGTTAATGCCCATTTAAGCCAGACAGTTTTGCAATCCCAGCACACTTGAAGAGATGATTTGCAGCAGTTGCAGACGTTCCTCTGAAATTTTAACAGTGAAGAAGCCATTATTTGACAGTGATCTGTGAACATGAGCACAGCTCAAAGTCCAGAGTTACTGTAAGCATCCAGTCTGGCCTCATGTATAACACTAGCTAGTCCCACCCAGATACTCCAACACTGAGCTCGGCAATCTGCTATTGAGCCAGACTATCTCTAAAAATATTCTGGTTTAAGACCTCCTCATACCAGAGGATTGACAAAATCTTAGTAAGCTACAGGAACAGATTAGCTATCATTTGAAAATATTCACCCCATTTCTGACTTCAAATTTTTCTTACCCCGATTTTGAATCATTTCCTCTAGCATGTGAGAAAGTAATATAAACCAAAACAATAGGACACATCAAAGCACTTATAGATGCTTCTGCATCTCTGATGTATTTTTCCCTTGGTAGCTACACTTTCGATAGAGAAAGATGAAGAAAAAAAATTAAGTGAACTGCTTCATTAAGAATACATTAAAGGGCTAGTGTACGTTAGGAGCAAAAATGCAGAATATGTTAATAGTAAACAGCAACCTGAATGGCATATTGTTTCAGTTCAGAGCTATTTAAATTAATAATTTCAATATATTAAGTCATTGTGTTGTGCAAATCTGAAATTCTCACACACGTCAACTCCAATTCTTCAAAAACCTCACAAGAAAAGGAAATATGCAGAGACAAGGTGGGAGGGTGTCAGGTATAACTGATGAAGGGAACACACCTGAGAAAAAAAGATCCATTTCTAGCCAGGTGAGGTCCCAGAGGCAGTTCAAGAGGAGAGCAGCAGCAGGCTGGGCCTTCAACCTGCTGCAGCAGCACACCTGACTGCTCTGGCAAAGTCAAGTCAGGCCACTCACAGTGCCTCCCTCCACCACCCCTTACTGGAAATGCAGCCTCCAGGCTTATAGGTATACAAGGGTTCCTCTTTCATAGACTAATCTGAGGCATTTTTCCAATGCCAATATTGTATCTCAATCTTAATCACAAAAAAACTCCAGAATTAGGGGTGTGCTGCAGAAATGCTTAGTGAACAAAGTGTTCACAAATTTTAAAATCCAGAGCCAAGAAGAAACTTCAGGCTCCAGTGCCTGTATTTCACATGTCCTAGATTTCCTTTAGGCACTAAAACAAATGGAGAAATAATAAAAAAAAAGAAGAGACAAAAGTCACCAGAGTTTATAGAAAGCCAACAGCCTCATCCTACTAGCTCCCCCTCTCCCCCATACATGAGAGTATAGAGCAGTACATGATAATTAACTGGTTATCATTTAGTCATCAACTCCTGCATGGCAATCTTTCTTAAAACTTGAAAACTTAAGAATTGTACTCCTTTTGTCCTGGTTAAAAGCATCCGCCCGCATGGAAAACGAGTGCAGAGAGCACACTAGCATTTGAAACACTATCCAGAGAAGTTTCCACAGAAATATCACAGGCTCAACTAATAGTTCAGAATGACAAGAACTGCCTAAACTGGTCCTTTGCCTTCAAGAATGACTACAAAATAAACCCACGCCTCAGAAGAACAAAAGGACCCCCTCCCAGCACACCCCGAAGCCCCTGCTTTCATCACTCCCCAGGACAAAGAAGCTAGCTTTTCCATGACATGTTAACAGATGCAAATGAAAAAAAAAAAGGCTTCAGCAACACACACCTCCTGAGTATAAAGTTTGGAAGTCTTCTGTCAGAAACACCCCACACACAGGAAGAATCCTTTGTTTTGTCTTTGT